TTTTTTTTTTTAATCTTATACCAACTAGTAACATTCAAGAAATTAAATCATTAACAAAATGCTATTATTTTTATTTTTCTAAATTTCAAAAAGGTTAAAACGATCATTTGGTACCTAATGTTTAACATAAAATATAAATTTTACTAGGGCTGGATATGGGTTGGTTCAGTTTGGTTCTGAAAAGATCCGAATTGAACCAAAATTTTCGGGTATTTAATAAATGGAATTGTCGGGTCCAAATATAATTATAGAACCGTTCGAGTTCGGTTCGGTTCGATTCTGTTCGGTTCAGTACCATAATTAAATTTTTTAACATTTACAGTAATACTACATTAATACAACCAATGACATGTTCATTCGTAACTTTTACAAATTAACGTAGCCCAATTTAAAAACATATGAATAACAAGTTGTCCAATAAAATTAATTCAATGTATACAAATACCAAGAAGTAGACACTAATATTAAAATATCAGTGATCCATATCAATAATTCATTTGCTTCAAGGAGATTACATAAAAAAATGAAATGTAAATTAAACGTTATAAAAATAAAATATTTTTAAGTATTGGTAATACTTACCAACTATTTAATTTAATTATCAATTGCTTGACTTGTCTACAAGTATAATTGAAAAGACACAATTAACAAATACAAATAAACTAAAATTTGTTCAGTTAAATTAGTTAATTTTCTAATTTGTTTATAAAAAATTAAAATAATTTAATTAATTCAATATAAAAAACTAAAAAAATTATTTAGATTCAGTTCTTATTCGATTATTCGGTTCTTGGTCTAGAATCGAGAATTGAACCAAACTCATCGGTTCTCGATTCAGATATCCATTCGAGTATTTAACTTATGAAGAACTGCTCGATTCGGGTTCGATTCGATTCGATTCGATTCTGTTCGAGAGTTTTGTCGTACCCTAGATTTTACCATGCATAGAAGTATTGTGAAGTCAAATACGACTAGTGTTAGACAGTCGAAGGTTCGGATATTACTAATTTTAATTTTTTGTTATTTTTTCAAAAGCCAAAATAGTTAAAAACATCGCCCAAATTCAATATGGGACTGGATTTACCCCTCTAGCAGAGGATCGCTACCCTAAAAAAGGAAAAACGAATAACCTTTTCTAAATAGAAGAAATCATTTTGCCTCCAAAAACAATTCTATTTGACACGAAAATAAAAGCCTTCCCTAACTAACTAACTGAGGCTAAAAGTAGAGTTAGGTGGGTCTCCCCAGTCTGGTCTGGTAGGCGTTTGATGCTACCCCATTACAATTCTATTTGACACTAAAATAATAGCCTTCCCTAACTATCTAACTGAGGCTAAATGTAGAGTTAGGTGGGTCTCCCCAGTCTGGTGTGGTAGGCGTTTGATGCTACCCCATTGCCGGTTTCGATATTATATAAGGAGGTTTCTCTCCTCTGCGGAAGTTAAGAGTCCCTCAAAAATTTTCACCTCTTGTGAATTCGGACTCAAAGTTTTGATCATTTGTTTCTCATTATCCTGTGGATAATTTGTTTTGCTGATTTTCTTGCCGGCCGCGAAAGGATCACAACTAGTGTTAAAGCATTTGAAAACCCACCACCGACCCAGTTGAGAACTGATGGAATCCACCTCAGATAAGTTATGGCCTTTGGATATGATGGCCTCGATCCTAAAGGGCGTAAAATTCCAGCAGTCCAACGGGTCGGCGGAGGTAGCAGGGCAGCCGGCGGTGTTGACGAAGTTGATGGAGAATAGGGACCTGATGATGGTCTTAACCACTTCTGTGGCTGTGCTGATCGGATGCGTTGTGGTGTTAGTCTGGCGGCGGGTTGCAGGATCAGCTACGAAGAAGGCGGTGGAGCCGCCTAAAGTGGTAGTGCCAAAGGCGGTGATGGAGCCAGAGGAAGCTGACGATGGAAAGAAGAAGGTCACTATCTTCTTCGGAACTCAGACTGGTACCGCAGAAGGCTTTGCCAAGGTAAAAACTTTATTATGGTAGTTTTAGAAATTCCTTTTTTTCATTTTTACATTGTTTTGTATTCTTTGCACAGGAACTCGCTGAGGAAGGTAAAGCTAGATATGACAAGGCTATATTTAAAGTAATTGATTTGGTGAGTTTTAAATCCATTTTGATGTTTCTTATTTTGTTTCTGTTTTACTTCGTAAATCTTTGATCCTGATATTGTCATCACTTGATTGAATCTTTTTATTCTGTTTTACTATGTAAATCTTTGATCCTGATGTTGTGATCACTTGATTTAATCTTTTTATCTGTTGTTAGGATGATTATGCAGCAGATGATGAGGAGTACGGGGAGAAGTTAAAGAAAGAAAGTTTGGCATTCTTCTTCTTAGCCACGTAGGTTTCGTATAACTTTGCTCTTAGTTGCATAAGGATACAACTTCTTATATTTATGGCTGAATAAAATTATAAGTATACACCCCGTGAAGTCAGATAGTCAATGAATTGTTTGTATCCAAATTTTCATTGATTTTCGTTGATTTGGTTGGTGGTTTCAGATATGGAGATGGTGAGCCTACTGACAATGCAGCGAGGTTCTATAAGTGGTTTGCAGAGGTAAAATATAATTATAGGGAGCTACCTTCTCAAAGGACTCTGCATTAGATTTGAGTTAATTTTTATCCGCGGTGCAGGGAGAAGGGAGAGGAGACTGGCTCAAGAACCTTAATTATGGAGTATTTGGCCTTGGAAACAGACAATACGAGCATTTCAACAAGGTCTGAGATTGATCTGAGCTCTATTTTATTTACCTATACTTCAAATGCGCCTGATTCTAGATGGCATGATGTAATTGTCAACTAACTTCTCTTTTTAATTTCTCAACAGATTGCTAAAGTCGTGGATGAGCTTGTCGCTGAACAAGGTATTTGTTCTTTATTTCGAGTTTTATCCTTTTCAGTTTTTTTGGTTAATTTTAGCCATATGAAATGTTTGACTCAATGATAGATACTATGCTAGTTTCGGTTCTTGAGATATCATTGAATTAATTTTGATCCGTTATAACATTAAGTATACCCTTGGATAGAGGTTGTCTGCTTCCGAGTATAAACTGGTATTTATATTTGTGGTGAATTCATCTTTAATATGAAAATGAGATAGAAATCAAAATTACTTACTTGAACGTTATGTGTGAGTAATTCTACGTTGCCTGTTACATGCACCTATCATCTTATTCTCGTTTTTATCTTCTCACCTTCTCTTTTTTTCTGATTCCAGGTGGGAGACAACTTGTCCCAGTGGGTCTTGGAGATGATGATCAATGCATTGAAGATGACTTTGCTGCATGGTATTCAGATTGTATTATTATTTGAAATGAGCACCTTTATCTTTAAAGACAAGGAGATTGTAGCTTCAATAATTCTGATCAATTTTTGGTGAATATAGGCGTGAGTTATTGTGGCCTGAGTTGGATTTTTTTCTCCGTGATGAGGATGATGCAACTGTTAATACTCCATACACTGCTGCTGTCCCAGAATATCGTGTTGTTTTTCATGATCGCCCAGATGCGTCAATTCTGAAGAATGGATCAATTCATGTCAATGGTCATACCATTTATGATGTTCAACATCCTTGCAGGTATTGAAGGAGATATAAAATTTTTCTTGGTGGTCCTTTTTTCTCAATTATTTAGTTTACAAAGATATGTTTCTCTCTTCCAGACGTTCCCTAACATTTAAGTATTTTTCTTGAAGAGCTAATGTGGCTGCGAAGAAGGAGCTTCACACTACAGCATCCGATCGTTCTTGCACTCATTTGGAATTTGATATTTCTGGCACTGGACTTGCGTAAGTTTCTGCTCTACATCATCTGCCACATAATACTTGATTTCGTAATAGTTAAACTAGTAAAAGGGTTTAGTTTTATTTAGATCTTGTTTATTTATTCTTTACTTTTCTCCTCAGGTATGAAACCGGGGACCATGTTGGTGTCTACTGCGAGAATTTGATCGAAACCGTGATGGAGGCAGAAAGGTTACTAAATTTGTCCCCTGATACTTACTTCTCCATTCACACTGATAAAGAGGATGGCACCCCACTCAGCGGAAGCTCCTTACTACCTCCCTTCCCACCTTGCACGCTAAGAACTGCACTTGCTCAATATGCAGATCTCTTGAGTTCTCCGAAAAAGGTTGGTTATGCTCCAATTTATTAAATTATTCCTGGATTTACCTTGGGAAGAACAACTGAGTATTAATGGTTGGTTACACGTGTTTTCCAGTCTGCCTTAATTGCTTTAGCGGCACATGCTTCTGATCCAAGTGAAGAAGATCGACTAAGATATCTTGCATCCCCTTCTGGAAAGGTGTGCTATGTTCAGTCCATATCTTGATATTGAATTTGGTTGAAAAATCACACTAAGAGCATCACTTTCTTCTTCAGGATGAATATGCACAGTGGGTAGTTGCAAGTCAGAGAAGCCTGCTCGAGGTCATGGCAGAATTTCCATCTGCCAAACCTTCACTTGGTGTCTTCTTCGCAGCCATTGCGCCACGTCTGCAGCCTAGATATTATTCTATCTCATCCTCCCCAAAGTGAGTAGTTATTTCCCCAGCCCCGCTGTTCTCTATGCTCACAGCATTACACCACGCGTTGCACATTAGTGCAACCAAAAGGAAATTTTTGTCTTGGGCTTTCAGAATATGTTTGGAACGATCATTATTATTATTGCTAACCTGTTCCTATCAGCTGACTATGATATGAGGTCTTTTGTGGACAATGAAAACGATCACATTTTTTATTTCAGGAGATGTAATAACATGAGAAAAATTTGTAATTGTTTTATTTTATTTTGTTTCTTTTAATTCTTCATTCTTTTTCCAAAATTCTATTAATCGTCTGCAATATATGTTTTGCAGGATAGCACCCTCTAGGATTCATGTAACTTGTGCACTGGTCTACGAGAAAACACCTGTTGGAAGAATTCATAAGGGTGTCTGCTCAACGTGGATGAAGGTATTGGTTTTGTACTCGGTTTATATATTTCCAATAGCAGCTGAGTGAATAAAAATATGGGAAAGTGCTGGTGAATAGAAATATTTAATTATCAAAGGAACAGTGTACAGTTTCCTGAATATTATAAATTGTTCTAGATTTATCAGGACTTGTATATTTGTTGGACACGTTATCTTTGAGTTTAATAAGCTTATTTCATGTAAATTGTACAATCTCTCATAAGCGTGGTTGCTCACTGTTTATCCCTTTCCAGAATGCTGTTTCTTTGGAGGAAAGCGTAGACTGCAGTTGGGCGCCCATTTTTGTTAGGCAATCTAACTTCAAACTCCCGGCTGATCCTAAAGTGCCAATCATAATGATCGGCCCTGGTACGGGCTTGGCTCCATTTAGGGGTTTCCTTCAGGTTTGTGAGAAAGCACTTCATGTTACATACTCTGTGGTCCTAGCTTCTCCTAATGCTGAATAGTTAATGATACAACAAATATCCGTTAATTTCAGGAAAGATTAGCCCTTCTCGAATCAGGAGTAGAGCTTGGTCCTGCTATATTATTTTTCGGCTGCAGAAACCGTAAAATGGTTAGTAAATCACTAATCATTTGTAGCATTGGCGTTTTCGAGAAACATATTAGTTATAAGATTTCTAAATTAATTTCATGCAATTTTCAGGACTTCATTTATGAGGAAGAATTGAGTAAGTATGTTGAAGCTGGTGTAATTTCCGAGCTAGTGATAGCTTTCTCACGTGAAGGACCAGCTAAGGAATATGTGCAGCATAAGATGACGGAAAAGGTATGCAACCTTTTCCGCCTATTACTATCTAACTAGTTTTTGGCTTCAGATTTTAATAGAAGTTCAGAGATTTGTAATTGCATATTGTATTCAAATCACAGGCTTCAGATATCTGGAACATGATTTCCGAGGGAGGTTACTTATATGTCTGCGGTGATGCCAAAGGAATGGCCCGGGATGTTCACCGAACTCTTCACACTATTATGCAAGAGAAGGTATCTTGTTTTGTGCCAGTTTGGCTTTTCTTTTTATTTCCACACCTTTCCCGCTGGTTTGGTTCGTGGTAGACTGTATAGTAGACGACATTCTAATTTATTTTTCTTCATGAATACTCTATAGTCCACCTTCCCACAAGCCATTGTTGCAACTTGCAATATTTCGCCTCTGGTAAATATTGTCTATGTCACTATGTGACCGTGACCAATCAGTTTTTATATACACAACTTAGGCTCTATTTGAGATTTTGAGGGGAGAATTGCTTGAGGCAATGATAAGGTCAACTTCTTTAGCTGATTAAGCCTGCACCTAATTAATCCCACTGGTTATTGTTTCAGGGATCTCTGGACACCTCTAAATCTGAGAGCATGGTAAAGAATCTGCAAACAACTGGACGGTATCTGCGTGATGTATGGTGATCATTCCTCCAGTCGGCGCAATTCTGTTAAATTAAAGAAAAGTTTTTGGAGGCAAAGTGCAAAGACTTTACACCTGCAGATGGGGAGTTTTGAGTGTTGCTATAACAGCTGTTAGTTCTCGCGATTCTTTGAAGTGGCTTTATTCGTGTATTTTTTTTGTTCGTGTAATTTATACATAAAAATGCGTATGATACAGAAATAGTCAGTGTCATAATGTTAAGTGTAGCTACTGAACTCTGTAATCTTATGAACCGGCAAGATTCGACATGATTTTAATGCCTTTTTTATTAGTACATTACTGTTCTAAGTTCTAATTTTTGCGCTACCTATATTTTAACTCGAGGACATACTGCTATCAGATAGTTGACTGTATCAAACAAGTGGGCTGTTGTGCTAGTCTGCAATGAATGCTGAAAGAGAGATTTTGAACCTAGGGATTGTAAATGAATTCATTTATGAAGATTGAATGAGAAATGTTACTTGTACAAGCTGGTTTTACGGGTTGATTTATATAATGTCAGATGACAAGATTTCATTGAATTTTGAACAAAAAAATAAAAGTTAAATCAGTAATTAAATTTTGAGCTATGCTATTGGTACATAATTTGTCTTACCTAAGGGAGTCCAACCTCTCACATGGGGTGGACCCTTAGGTACCCCATGTGGGTCCACCCCATGTGAGAGGGTGGACACCCTTAGGTAAGGCAAATTATGTACAAGTAGAATTTTTCTTAAATTTTCCCATCTCAACACCTGTAAATTCATCCGTACAAACATTTTTGAGATCGAAAAAGAAAAGGAAATTAAAATATTGTTTATTTTAATATTTAAATCTGAACAATGTATTGTGTATGTGACTACCGTAGGGATTATTAGCACACCTTAAAAGTATAAAATCCCACGGACTAAAGAGTTGGGGTACTCGTACTAACAAAGTTAATTGGTTAATATTAAATTTTAAGTCTTCATTTGCTATCAGAGTCCAAAATGTTCAAATGAGTTGTCAGATTTTAAAATTGGTCAAGTTGCCATCTTTGAGTCTGAGATCATATTAAGGATAACTTGTTCAAATACCTGGCCACCAAAATGAGAAGAGGTGGAATTTAATGGACTTATGGGGTAGGTGGGAGGTGCCAAGTTGAGTTGTGCATCATTAAAAAGTCCCTATCTCCCTTATGTAACATTTTGAGTAAAAGTTCCCAAATCAGGTGTGCATACAGCAAATTTCAATGCTGGATCTCAATAGCATGTCCCTGGTAGGATATCCAAAATTTAAACTAATTTGAAAGTCATAAAATATAAAATTAACATTCAGAAAAGAACTATGTTCATTCAACCATTTTTGTAAGGATTTCTCTCTTTATTTTCTTGACCTCTTGTCTGGATATTCTCGACAATAGCATCTCAAATTCAGGGTCTTCCATTGCGCGAATTTCTTGAGAAACGAAATTACAAGCATGTAGATTCAACCAGATGGACTACTCCAAAAGAACTCATCTATAAACCGACCGGTTACCATTACAAATAACATTAAGTCACTGTTTGGTACACATTAAAATTCTCATTCTCATTATTCTACTCATTTTCAACCATACATTTTTCAATAAAATAATATTTTCCATCATATCAATAACTTTTCCTTCTTTTTCAACCACACATTCTCATCAATCTACTATTCCAGAATACATTCTTCCAAAATAATGTGGCTCAAACACACCCTAAAAAATGTCATTTATTGGAAAACGCAACCACAGATTTGGGACCAAAAGCAATTAGCATGGACCATTGAATAAGTTTCTTCAACTTAAGTTGGTGTCAACCAAGTGTTCTGTTCACTTTTCTTGCCCTCCCTGGTGCTTTCGAACTAACAACTTTCATATTATGTCGAATCGAGCTTACTTGATCTGTTCGATTGAGACCTCATAATGCCATCATATTCTCTAGTCCAATTGTTGTTTTTGTGTTACTAATTTATTCACTCTATTAATCTGGTTGGCTATTTAAGTTGAGAGACTTGACTGAGGTCGAGCATGTAAAACAGTAAAAGATAACATTAAACCCACAGTTAAAGCTGAAAAAATTTGGCCTGAACGACAAAGAATAAAATTTACTTATGTTTGATATCAGTAACTAAACCAAAACGAACTGAAGAAGATAATGTCAATGAACCTTCCTATTCATTGGATATTCAGGAATGAAACTGTATCTAAAAAACTTACTGAATGGCATAGCAGACACTCTTGATTCTTCTGCATTGATCAATAAATGGTTTAGCACTTTATCCCCATCTAATGATTGCCGAACCCCATGTAAGACCAGCTCCGACTCCAGTAGCTGCAATTGTATAGCCTGGCTGCACCTTCCCACTTTGTACAGCCTCATCCAGTGCCAGTGGAATGGACGCAGCGCTTGTGTTACCATAGTTTGCCAAGTTGGATATAACACGTTCAGATGGGACCTCCAAGCGCGTTGCAACTGTATCAATAATCCTCCGGTTTTCCTGCAATTTAGCCAAGAGGTCTCAAGGCAAAAACATACAATTCCCTATACTTATGGAGTAAAATGCACTGGATTAAGTTGTAGGCAAGCACTGGATATGTAAAATATAATTTTCTTGCCTTGAACATTAATTGATTTAAGTGTTGGAAATTATTTTCTGTTAAATTTTCTGAAATGCTAAGATGCTGAATCAAATAGATCAAACTCCTACTTTCTCATTATATGACATATTATAGGTTTTCCTTTTTATACCTGATGAAGAAGCAACCAGTCTAAGGTGGATCCAGTAAGACCTGCCTTCTCCAGAGCAGATTCAATTGACTGTGGCACAACACAAACAGCAAAGCGGAAAACCTCTTTACCATTCATCTGGAGGCAGGAGTAAGAGGAATTTCTTGGGGAAAATCCTAGTAATGAGCCGTAACGAGCCATTTGAACCTAAAACATGATCTGTTCATTTTGCTTGATGGTGGCATTTAAGTACCTGCAAAAAAGGTTATGGCTTGTTGCTCGTTTTGACAATTACACGATAAGTACATGATAGGTCTCACAACACACACCTTTGTCCTTCACCATCACTATGCAAGTCAACGGCAAATAAACAATCCACTTCACTATCACAAGCCTGCAGACAACTTCGAAAATTAATAAAGTTGGAAAAATCACAATATAAAAACCAAACTGGACATGAATAGATTCTTCTAACAATACAAAAGAAGAGATGCATAACTTTTAATAGCCAAAAAAGAACAAGAAGGCAATATTTTTACTAAATGGATGCTCGGTTTCATTTTATAACAATATGAGATAACTATAGACACCCTTTTTGGTTCTAGCATTTCTTTTGGAATCCCCATTTGGATTAAACTACATTCCCCACAAAGAAGATTGTTTCTAGGGTAATATCCAAAGCAACTTTCCTGTCAAGGCCAAGTTTCCCCATATGATACATAAGACTGCTAGACAGAACTGACAGAATAAAGGTTATTCTCCATGCTTTAGACAAGAACTTCTGTAAAATGTTACTTCCCCGAAACCCCATCTAACACTTGGTTAAATGTTGCAAATTGTAGTAATGTCAATGCAAAGAAAATCGTGTTTCATATAGTAGACAGAGACAGCTGATTCAGTGGTAAATCTATGGCCTTGCTTGAAATCATCTTCCTACAACTAGAGCAACATTAGGTCTTCATTACCTGCACAATCTGTTTATCTGCTACAGTGACAACACGGTTTCTTGTGGGTTCAAAGTCCACATAAAGTATGATCTAATATACGAGGCAGAAAATGCGTTTAGCTTAATAAATAGAAGGCAGTGGATCAATGGACTCAAACTACCAGTTGCACAATAAGTCTCATACTAAACCTACTTAAGATGATGTACAACATAGACGATGCCCCCCTCCCCAATTAACAAAAATGATTTTCAATATCCTCTTCTATCCGTCTTTCTTGACTACCTTGAAAGATGTCTCGTGCTTGTTTATGCATAAACTTCTACAAGCAGAAATTATAAATTCCCAGCATGCACAACAATGAGAAAAAACCGAGTGTAGAAAAGATATGACCCCACACCTGTACTAGCACAGCACCAGCTGCATCACCAAAGAGAATACATGTACCTCTATCCATCCAATCAACATATCGAGAGAGAATCAGCCCCAATCACAAGGACATTATTGAAGCCACCCCTGCATAGCAGAAGGATTTCAATCTGTACAGCAAATGAAAACGAGTTGTAAATATACAATTAAGAGTTTGGAATCTCCTCATAGGTGGAGTAACCGAATTTTACCACTGATATGGCAAGCAGCTGACACAAGGCCCAACACAAATTCACTACAGGCAGCTGTAATATCATAAGCTATGGTCTGCACCATGACTCGTAAACGACCCATTAGTTCATTAAATTGAACTCCAAAATACTGTAAATAACTTTGAATGAGTTAGCATGTTTTAACGTTTTCAATCTTGTCTATACCAAATCATCTATATAGGTTGGACAAGATAAGCTGGCTGATGGATTATCAGTTCAGCTGTTGGGTTGATGGACTTTCTATTGGAATCTGGTTACAGCAACAGCCCAGTCAATTGAAGAAGGTCCGGCCCAGCAAGAGAATAAAAGTGATAAAACGTGTTCTTCCTTTTCACGCTTTTGTTCACGTTTTTCTTCATCTTTCTGTTATTTGTTTGTTGCCTTGTCGTTCTCTTCTCATTGGTTACTTTGTTTCTCTCTTCATCTATATATGAAGAAGATCATAGCCATTGTAATTGATTGAGAACGATTAATATAGAAAAGTATCGTTTACTATTTTTGTTTATGGTATCAGAGCAGGTTGAATAAAGCTTACTGATACTAAAATGGCAGCAATCGAAGATCTGCCACTGATGGAATCTGAAGACGATGAAGGTACAGAGAAACAAGTAGCAGAGAAGACGTATTTTAATGGAGATCCATTGGATTTGCAAAGCTCAGATCATCTAGGGATGCATTTAGTTACCTCACACTTAACAGGTCAAAATTATCTCATTTGGAGTAGATCTATTAAGATAGCTCTGGGAGCAAAATTAAAATTGGGTTTTATTAATGGAAGTTGTGGAAAACCAGTCGAAAACTCAGCTAAGTATGAGCAATGGGTACGAGTTGACTGTATGGTTAGATCATGGTTACTGAATTCAATTTCGAAAGAAATTGTAGAAGCTTTTATTTACACTTTATCAACTAAGGATCTTTGGGAAGAATTAAAGGAGAGATACGGAGAATGTAATGGTCCTCTGTTATACCAATTACAGAGGGAAATTGGAAGCATTTCTCAGGGAATGTTGACAATTGAGAAATATTATACAAAATTGAAGAAATTATGGGATGAATTGGCATGTTTAATGCCAATTTCTGCCTGCACTTGTGCAGTATCGAAAGAGGCATCAGATCTGACAGTTTTTAATCGTTTAATGCAATTTTTGATGGGGTTAAATGATACTTTTGATCATATAAGGAATCAAATTCTTGTAATGGATCCTTTGCCCTCAGTGAACAAGGCATACTCAATGGTACTCAGGGTTGAAAAGCTAAGAGAAGTACACACTATTTTTCCTGAGATAAATGATAGTTCAGCTATGTTAATAAGAACTACTGATTAGAAGAGAGACTATGGAGGTAGAACTGGAAATTATAGAGGGTCTAGTAGAGGAAGATTTGGAAGGGGTAACTACAATGTTACAAGAGGAAACACTAGAAGATTTGGTACAATTGAAAGAGAGAATTCTCACTGTGACCACTGTAACATGAATGGTCATACAAAGGACACTTGTTTTAAACTAAATGGATACCCAGACTGGTATAAAGATCTAAAGGAGTAGAGATCGAGAAACGTTGCTGATGGAAGATTTTTGGCAAATATGGCAAATACACCGTTGGATTTTATTGAAGATCAAATGGTAGAAGTAAGGAAGAATGATACTGCTGTGTCAACAAATATTGCAGATATTGTGAAACTTGAAGAGCAAAAGGCATTGAAGGGAAAAATGATGATGGATATGGAGAATAAGGTGAATTTTACTCATGTTAAAGAGTATGCAGGTATGAGTTCCTATCACTCTCTTTTGGCTAGACTTGATTGTTTGAAATCAGGCACTTGGATAATTGATACGGGAGTTAGTAACCACATCTGTGCAGATGAAAAGTTAATGACAGAAATTAAAACCATGACCCAGCCTATAAACGTTTGTCTGCCGGATGGAACAACCAAGCTTGTAAACAAAATTGGAAATGTGAAATTAAACTCACAATTACATCTCACTGACTCATTATATATTCCCTGTTTCAAGTTCAATCTTCTTTCAGTACCCAAACTCACACAAAATGCAAATTTGAAACTAACCTTTTACCCTTCATTTTGCCTATTGCAGGACCTGTAGAGTGAAAAAGTTTTAGCAGTTGGCAAGCTTATGGGAAATCTCTATTTGTTGATGAGTCAAGCTTCTTGTTTAGCAATAAAGATAAGGTCAATAGATCTATAGTTGAGTCAGAAATTTCTAAGTCCTTTTCATCCTGTAACCAGACTTACGAAGTTAATAAAATTTCTATTTCACCTATTGTTGATTCTTTTCTCCAATGGCACAACAGGCTTGGCCATACGTCTTTACAAACTTTGCAACATTTAGATTTCCTGAAGCACTCCATCACTGAATCTGATTTTTTACACCATTGCGAAATCTGTCACAGAGCAAAACAGCAGAGAACACCTTTTCCTGTTAGCTCTATTCATACATAAACTTTATTCGAAATTGTCCATGTTGACCCCTGGGGACCATATGACAATACTCCTTGACTGGAACACCGTATATTCTTACTGTGGTGGATGATTTTAGTCGTGCAACCTTGACATTTCTACTCTTACACAAAACACAGGTCACTAAAACACTGGATTGTTTTTTTTAAATGGTTGAGAATCAATTTGACAGAAGAGTCAAATGCCCGAGAATAGATAATGGCACTGAATTCCTTAGTGGTGAGTGTCAAACCTTGCTTCAGAATTCTGGAATTGTGCATCAAAGAACCTGTGTTTACGCCCCACATCAGAATGGAGTTGTAGAACACAAACACAAGCATCTTCTTCAAATTGCTAGGTCCCTAATGTTCCAAGCTAGTCTACCAAAAAAGTTTTGGCCCTTTTCCATTCTGATGGCTACTCACATAATCAACAGACTTCCTACTAAAACCTTGACATGGCTTACTCCTTTTGAGAAGTTATACAAAAAAAAAACCAGATTACACTCTAGTTAAAACTTTTGGTTGCCTCTGCTATATGGCTAACACTAGGCTACATAAGGATAAATTCGAGGAAATGGGGTTTAAATGTATCTACCTTGGTCTTAATCCTGGCCAGAAAGGATTCAAGATTTATAATCTTTCCACCAAGCAAATTCAAGTATCTAGAGATGTCAAATTTTTTGAAGCCATTTTTCCTTTTAAGGAATCAGTTTCAGATGCTATTTCACCTCCTCTACCCCTTCCTCAAGATTTTGACTCAGGTGAAACCAACACAAATATTCCCTCCCATGATATCAGCAGGGTTGATGGCCTACAAGAGGTTACCATATTACCAGACAATACTTCAGATTCCTTTCCTCTAATTCCTGTTCATCTTCCTACTCACATTCCACCGAACACTCTACTCCTACTCCCACTCCTACTCTTAGGCATAGTACTACAAACCACCCTGGCTTTAAGACTTTGTTACCAGTATTAACAACACCCAGGTTATGCCAACTGCTGATCGTGATTCGCTTTGCAGGACTGAATCTTTTGCTTTAACAGGTTACTCACCTCCTACTTTTCCCTATCATGTTTTGCCACATCTTAATCCCTCTTATGCTGCATTTCTAGCTACCTTATTAGTTGTTCAGGAGCCTACTTCTTATAATCAGGCTAGTCGAAGTGCAGATTGGACTCAAGCAATGAACTCTGAGCTTGACGCACTCGAAAAAATTCAGACCTGAGAGCTGACTAGCCTTCCACCTGGAAAGCAGGCTATTGGTTCACATTGGGTTTATAAAGTTAAATTAAACCCAGATGGTTTGGTTGACAGGCTCAAGGGTAGACTTGTTGCCAAAGGTTATCATCAATTGCAAGGGGTGGATTATTTTGACAGTTTTTCCCCAGTGGCAAAAATGGTTACTGTGCGTATGCTTTTTGCTATCGTGGCAGCTAAAGAATGGGTACTACATCAGCTGGATATAAATAACGCCTTCCTACATGGGTTCTTGGACAAGGAGGTATATATGATGCCTCCTGATGGCTTTCATAAGGTGCAACCTGGTCAGGTTTGTAAATTAAAAAGAAGCCTATATGGATTGAAGCAGGCGTCACGGCAATGGAATGCTGAATTATGTTCTAAACTTCGTGTTTTTAGCTTCCACCAGTCAGCGCATGATCATTGCCTTTTTACAAAACATCAATTGCAAAGGATCCTTATTCTTTTGGTTTACGTTGATGATGTCCTGATCACTGGAACAAATGAAGATGACATACTTGTTGTTAAGCAATACTTGGATCAAGCCTTTACAATCAAAGATATGGGCTATGCTAAATACTTTCTGGGGCTCGAGATTGCTCGAAGTAGTGAGGGAATGTATGTTAATCAAAGAAAGTACATACTAGATTTGATTCAAGATGCAGGTTTACTAGGAGCAAAATCGACTCAAGTGCCAATCCCAAAGGGCACAAAATTGATTAGTGAGCAGGCTCCCTCCTTCAGGAACCAGAACGATACAAGAGACTTAATGGGCGACTCCTCTACTTAACACGACCTGATATAACATATAGTGTGCAGCAGCTCAGCCAGTTTGTTCATGCCCCATGCGAGTCACATTGGAACGTTGCTCTACATTTGCTCAAATATCTGAAAGGATGCCCTTCAAAAGGACTTTTCTTCCCCCCCAGTTTTCCCTTCGTTTGCAGGCCTATGCAGATGCTGACTGGGCTTCCTGTCCAGATTCACGCAAATCACTCACCGGGTATTGCGTCTTTTTTGGTTCATCACTTATCTCTTGGAAAACCAAGAAGCAAACCACTGTTTCCCGTTCATCGGCAGAAGCAGAATACCGTAGTATGGGAAGCACAGTCTGTGGGTTGCAGTGGATTACTTACATCCTGAATGACCTTCACATTCCTTTCACTCTCCCTATTCCTCTATGGTGTGATAATAAGGCATCTTTGCACATCACAGCGAATCCGGTATTCCATGAACGCACCAAGCATTTGGAGATTGATTGCCATTTGGTTCGGAACTTATATAAATCTGGTTTGCTTCTCCCACAGTATATTCCTTCCCACTCTCAGCTTGCAGACATTTTTACAAAGTCATTTGCTGCTCCTCATTTTCATCGTCTTCTTTCCANTGCAATTCATGAACAACTTATATGGCTATATAAAATTTCTTGCATTATTGCTTTGGCTCAACTGCTTAAAGATCTGAAAGTTCTTTATTATATATACGCTAACATAACCTCAATAATAAGACAGCCCATGCATTGCATGGGCCAAAACTAGTCTTTTAAAAAAATTATAAACAAAATATTGTTTCGTCTATAATTTTAACTCCGTACGTATATCATGTAGTCAATTAGAAACCCTGAAATCAAAGTACAAATTTAGCTATGCATGCAAATTATGCACACCTTTTTCATTGTTTGTTGTCAAGATTACAAATTCATCCCGAATTACATATTTTATATTATTTATTAAGATTATCATTATAAAAAGACCTTATACCAATTATGTTTCTACGGTAAAAAAAAATTATTTGATTGAGAGCACATATGACTGAAAGTGAGTTTAAGAAAAAAAATTAGGGGCTGTTCTCTTCGTATTTTATTTTTTCGTTTTTAAATTTGAATTCATTTTAAGTGTTCATTTTGAGATTGTTGAAAATGCGTTCTTTTTGTCATTTTAAAAAATTATTTTCAAAAACTCAAAATTGGAAAATGTGTTCTTCCCGTCTCATTCTCTCTCTCTCTCTTCCTCTCTCTCGTCTTTCTCTTTCTCCTTCCTCTTCTTCCTCTCCTCTCTGTAGTCTCTCTCCTAAGGCTGTCGATGCCGACGAGCAGCGAGAGGTTGTATGAGTGATCGCCGGCGGCTTTGTCTCTTTTTTTTTGGATGCGATGGTTGCGGCTGTGGTGTGCGACGGTTTTGGGTCAATGGTGTGCTACGGTTTTGGGTCGTGGTGGTGTACGACAGTGGTGTGGTGCAGGTTGTGCTGTGGAGAAGGTGTGCGACAGTTGTGGCGATGGTGTGCGCGGTGTGGCGGTGGTTTTTGGGTGTGCGACGGTTGTGGCGATGACTTCGACGGTAGTTTTTGTTGGTGGCGTAACTGAAAATACTCAAAACGTGTTTTGAAAATTTTGGCTTGGTTTTAACCGAAAACACCCAAAATGACATTTTTCCCCTTTTTTGTTTTTCTTTATAAATTTTAAACTCATTTTTAGAAATTCATTTTCGAAAATAGGTAAGTAAATGTGTTTTCACTATTTTGAAAAATTAAAAACAGAAAATGGGAACAAAACGACAAAGAGATCATCTCCTTAGTTTTTGAAAAATGAAGCTCAAAGGCTTAGGGAATGTTTGAGCGCCATTTTTGTCGAAAAAATATATTTTTGAATAGTTTATTGATGGGAAATGTGTGGTTAAAAATAAGGAAAATTTTTGAATGTACGATAATATTATTTTATTGAAAATTATTTGGAAGTATGTATTTTGGAATAGTAGATTGATGGAAAATGTGTGGTTGAAAAAGAAGGAAAAATTATTGATGTGATGGAAAATATTATTTTATTGAAAAATGTGTTGCTGAAATATGGTCAAAGACTCAAAATACTGTTCGAAAATGAAAAAAATGAGTTCAAACAAGAGCTTAATTGCGTATATAAAACCCTATACCTCCCTTTTTTACTCCAATTAGTGCTATTTCCGTTAAGTTTTCGTTAATAATCCTCTACTGCTTGGGCCTGGTGTTGGATTATACACGACTCACTATTTTATAGCCCACTCAGCCCAATTATATCTATAAATGGCATTCTACATCTTTATAGGGTTAGGGTTCGCATTTCACACAGACTAAGAGGAGCAGCTCGCCATGGGGAGAAGTAAGCTCTTTTTTATTTCTTCTTGTGCTATGCGCGCGTGTAATTCATTCATAATATGCGTTTATAGATATGTAGAAGTTCGAATCTTCAAAAAAGAAAAAGAAATTATGGCTCTGCTTACCTGGGATTAATGATTTTCCGAGAATATTTTAGAAGATTTTGATTGATTATATTATGTTGCTTTGGTGTGTTATGGTAATTCTTGGAAATTGCAAAGGTTTATTTGTGTTTTCTCGTCAAGGAATTTGACTGAAGACATCTAGTTAATATATGTTGGAAACCAAAACTAAATTGATTTTATTATTTTTTGTCTTTGCTTATCTAGTGGTCTAGATTATTCATTTTTATAATTTATTTCTTATGGATCTGAATACAATTATTTTAAAGATTTTTAAAGACTTTGATTTGCTGCAATGGGTTACGATAGTCTTGAAACCTTGCAAAGGTTGAACTAAAGAAGGTTTGTTTCTGTTTTTTCAACAATGAATTTAGCTAGAACCTCAAGAATAGTTAATAAGTATCTAGATTAATAATAATATATATGGTTTCGGTTAAATGAAATTTGATTTGGTTGGCCTGTGTTTAATACAAGATATGAACTTGAAAGAAAGTATAATGTAATATGAAAAAAATAAATCATGGAAGTCTTTGTAGTTGTGAAGAGTATTTTGAATTACAAAAGCTGGACTCTTTTACCTGTCTTCTGTAGTCTAAAAATGCTTCTTGAATTCTTAGCTTGCTGTTAACGTCCTTTTGCCATTCATAGGGATTCTTTTTGTGACATTTCTTGTGAAATTAAAGAAATTTATATGTTGTGATTTTAAGGCTTCTTCATATCCTCTGTTTATAATCGGGAAGTTTAGTTTATTGTTTGTTGTACTCTAAAATATTTATGTGTAATATTTAAAGTGGCTCTTTTCCCGAAAGGCACATGTATTTAAAATGGTTCGTTAATGTGATGATATTTATTTATCACTTGCAGGACCAGCAAGGTGTTATCGCCAGATCAAGAACAAGCCCTATCCGAAGTCAAGGTTCTGCCGTGGTGTGCCCGATCCGAAGATCAGAATCTATGATGTTGGAATGAAGAAAAAGGGAGTCGATGAATTCCCCTACTGTGTGCATTTGGTAAGTTGGGAGAAGGAGAACGTGTCCAGTGAGGCGCTAGAAGCTGCTCGCATTGCCTGCAACAAGTACATGACCAAGTTTGCAGGAAAGGATGCTTTCCACTTGAGAGTCAGGGTTCACCCTTTCCATGTCTTGCGTATCAACAAAATGTTGTCGTGTGCTGGGGCTGATAGGCTCCAAACTGGTATGAGGGGAGCCTTTGGTAAGCCCCAGGGAGTTTGTGCACGTGTGGCCATTGGACAGGTCCTTCTTTCTGTGCGCTGCAAGGATTCCAACAGCAATCATGCTCAGGAGGCCTTGCGCCGTGCAAAATTCAAGTTTCCAGGTCGTCAAAAGATCATTGTCAGCAGGAAATGGTATGAGATTAATTCCAAATTCTTCTTCTCAATCTTGAACATCACCTATAATTTGTCCAATTTTTGCTGTAGTGGAAACATCCTAGGAACTTGATATCTGTACTTACCTATGGCACAAACTTATTTAAATCTTGGTCTCCAAATAGGACATGAAAACTGCCTCCAGGCCATAGAAATTGTCAGTGCGGTTCAAGAAATCTCCACTATCTTATTTAAATAGTCTATTTAAAATCATGTATTGAAAATTGAATCATCTAATCCATCTTTAATATGAAATTCACCTACCCATTTGTTATTCTTATCAGAGATGTTACTCCTCTTTGTATAGTTTGGTCATTTCGTAAATGTAAATGATAATTTTGTTGTCTATTGATGTAAAGAAAAATCTATATTTATAAGATGCATTTGTGTTCACTTTTCAATCATTTTGTTCAGGTGCATTTTGTGTTTGGTAAACAGAATTTTAATGCTTTGCATTACTCTAGCTCCATTTTTTCTCTTTGCTTAATAACTTAACCATTGAAAGTTCTTATAAGTAGTTGCTTATTTAAATTATCTTGATTTTTCAGGGGATTCACAAAGTACAGTCGCCCAGATTATATTAAATGGAAATCTGAGAACAGGATCGTTTCTGATGGTGTGAATGCAAAGGTTTGACTTTTACTAAAACATCGAATACTATTCCACCTTATCATTTGGTTCCTTTAATTAGCCTTAGCTAGAATGCATTTTGGATTTATTTTCTTCTTGTTAGAGGAGTCATCGCCCTCATGAAGATACTAATGAACTATTTACATCATGCAGCTTCTTGGATGTCATGGACCTTTGGCAAATAGGCAACCCGGAAGAGCATTTCTGTCTGCGGCTATTGAAGGATGAATATATCTGGATGGGGAAATATCAACGCTTTATGCATTTCTTCATTACTTCAGACCAAGAATTTTCTTTTTGTTGATTATCTGGATTTTTCTTTTTGATAAGACAAATTTTCTATCAAGTTTTTATAAATTGGATTTCTTTGATATAATTTATTCGGGAGAATGTGTTGCTTTATTGGATGGTCTAAAATTTGCAATAGATCAGTTTTTAGCCATTGATGAACAGGAAATTGATTTTATTTATGATGTTAAAATTTGTCGTCTGGGTGGTAAGTAAGAATTGGACAACAAAAGGCATTCTTCGCGAGTATCCAGTACTTCTATGTATGTTGTGAAGTTAATAAGAATGTGAACAGGCTCGTCATTTCCTTGTACGTATTTTATCTTTGGATGTTTTTGAGTTGGCCTCTGTTTGGTAGAGATTATAATCAGATTTTTAGAAGATTTAATAAAAGTCGATGAAATATATTGTTGAGAAGTTGTGGGTAGTTTGGTTAATTTTTTTTTTACTTTGACTTAGATTTTAATTAAATTTTTTAGCGGTACCAAATAGGAGCTTAAATTATCTGCTATTTTGTTGAAAAATAAAAACTGCTTTTGAAAATATTGAGTCCGAAAAGTTCTCATTTTCATTGATCTTTCTCAAATATTTATTATAAACTCAACTTTCACAAGTTCTTATTTTGTCGAAAAGTAAAAATAAAAACTGCTGCTGAAAATATTGAATACGAAAAGTTCTTATTTTCGTTGATCTTTCTCAGATGTTTGTTATAACAACTTTCCCAAGGTGAGCCGGGTTAATATTGTTGTTTGTCATTAATATTTTGACATCATCGTCGAATATTTATTATAGAATTAGCATAAGTTAAAGAAACAATCAAATGAGGACAACAAATCTCGTGATATCATAAAGTGGTAGCGCATCTAATTTCCTACCTACACCCCACCAAACTTAACCGTTTGCCGCCTCGATGGTTTTGTGTCCTCTCGCTTGCCCCGAACCCCATCACCCCTCTCCTTCGCTCTTCCTATCTTCCACAAACAATGCATTCCATCACCACTCTCTTCCTCGTTCCCCTTCGCCAACATGGTCTTTCAAAAACCACCATCGTTGGTGCCTACACTCCAGACCGGTAATAGAATACCCTATTGCACAGTTCACACCCCCATTTACACCATTTGGGCTTCTAATACTTCTCCCCTAGTCTCCACTGGCCTGTCCATTTCATTTCTTCCCATCATGCATCCTAAAGAGTTCATTATCTCAAGCCTGTTCATTTTCATGTGTTCAACTAAAGGTGTATCAATGGATACCTTCCTCCTCAAACAATTCTCCAGCTGCTTCACTAGTTGCTAGTCTGTTATTCTCAGTGTCTAGAACTAAAATCCCCGAGGGTGGTGGGAGGGGAAGCATTGAGAAAGTAACGAATCGTAGAGAGCATAACTTGGATTCCTGTTATAGTTAGGATTGATTTTTGCTATTCGATGAATGATCATTTGAAATTACACAAGTGTACAGGATCGTTGACAAGTAATAATGATGAATATAATCGAACCTACGAGAATTACGTGTTTGATCAAGTTAAAATTAATTTCAACTTTAATCGAATAACAAACAAATTTTGTGATTTTTTCTATACTAATACTTAAATTACCAATTAAACTAATGAAAGTAAGTAAATATATTTTTCAAATATGTGAGATGCATTGCTAAGATTTCAAATCTTCTTTATTATTTCATTTTTAGTGTAACAATTAAAGTGACTGAAATCATTTATGTTGGTCAATGTTTTAATTTAATTGAAAGCCTCTTTCGATAGCGAACAAATATATTCCCCTCATGTGACCCTTCTATCTCTCGATGAAAGATGCAAACATAATAAATGCATTAACAAGTTTTAGAACACCTATTGAAATCATATAAATTATGGAGGTATATATCTATCATTTATCGAACATTATTGTGTTTATTGTAATGTTCTCAAGTCATATTGTCTCTCTCGATAACAATAAAATCTACTGACAATTTAATTGGTGATCAAACAATTGAAAAGATGGACAAAAGGATAATAAACATTCACAAATCAAATTAAACCAAATTAAAGCTAAAATAATTAACTAAAAACTAAAAATATCATAATAAGGGTTTATCTCATCTTAATAATGTATAGAATTAGCCTAACATATCAAAATTATAAGAGATCATATTTAAGTAAAAAGACATAATCCGAATTTTTGATAAATTGATAAGATGAAGATGAACCTTAAAATCTTGAATCTCTTCAATGATTTTTTGATGAATCTCCACTTGCGACTTCTTTTCTTTACCAAAAAATCAAGTTTGAATCTTCACTTGATTGAAAATTCCCTTCAATTCTCTCACAAAAACTATGAATTCTCTCAATTTGATGATAATAATTGATGAGTATTGGAGTATGAGATATATATATGAAAGGTCTCCAATATGTATTTTGTTATTCGATATTCGTAGGAGTAGAAAATTGGTTGAAAATTATGTCTAGATTAGCTCCAAAAGATTTCCAATCTAATAAGAAAAGTTGCCTTTACGTGTAGATTTTTTGTTTCCACACGACAGTCAGATTTTGTCCATAAATTTCTCTCTCAATATTGGTTTAGATGATTCAAAGTATGTTGAAAAGGGTTACAACCTTTTTAGATGTAGAATTTTTCCAATTCAGACGTTTACTGTGCCAAAAATGGGTTTTAATAGTCAAGTAAAAATCAGGAATACGACTTTTGCAATTGAAAATTGATTTTTTTATAATATTTTGATTATATTCCATTTTTTTTTGAATTCTAATTCCATCCAATTATCTCTTAGCAATCTTCAAAGTATCGTTTTGTGTTCGAATCAACTATTGAATAATTACAATTTGGTCCTTAAACTTTGGATTTTGCACCTTTTTCACCAATTTTCGTTTCTTTATTTCGATTCCTCGTTCAACCATTAGTTTTACATATATAACATAAAATACAACAATTTAGGATATATTTTATCAGAAAAATATCAAATATTACTATTTTAGACCTCGAATAAGTGGATAAAATGCACTTATCAATGAACTATACCCATAGTAGATCCAACTACCTTAGGCTTCACTGGTACATCCCCCATATGCCTCTCCTATCTTTCGTGGTGTTTCATCCAGAATTCTAGCATGATTGCCAGATCCATCAACCCCTGCACTAGGTGTGTGAGATAAAAAAAAAAAAAAAGAAAAAAAAGAAAAAAATAATAAATTTATGTAATAGAGTTGATCCGCTAAAGTCCCCAATATGAGCTACATTGATGGGAGAAAGAAAAGGTTAAAAGAGTTTTGAAGAAAAGTGGATGCACAAAACTAGCGCAACAAGACAACCCTTTGAATACCATTTTTAGGGGAATTTGCACCAGACTTGGAGAGGTTCAAAAAGAGAAGAATGAATTAGAACATAAATAAGAGAAGCTTAGAATTTTTTTGGGGGGAGATTGAAGAAGAAGGAACTCAAAGCAAGTTCCACTCTAGAAATCCAACCAAAGGGACGAGTTCTAAGTGTTATCTTTAATCTTATGTTTAATTTCTTCAATTTTGAAATGTATCTCTTATATTTCTTGTTACTTTTTTTAATAGGAAGTAGATTTTTAAATGTTGCGATGATTGACGTAGTTTAACATTAACCTAATTAATATTTTTGTTTGCTTTTAATTTTTTTTACCCATTCATGTTGTGATTATTATGTATTTAATGTATTTTGTTTGCTTGATCACCAAATATTTTTTAGTGAAGTATTTAATCTTTGTGAAGTTATTATTATATATTTTAGATTCGGTAACAAGCCCCCTAAGTTCTTATGGGAGATTGAAATATAATTCTAATCCTAAATGATTCATTCAACTATTCTTACATTAGTAAATAAAATAGAAAATAACCTGGTATAATTCATATCCAAGATTATAAAAATATACTATATTAATTACTCATTAACTTAGTAATACACAATTAAGTGGTACGTATAAGTGATAAATTTATTTAATTATTAAAAATTATTTCCTGACCAGCAAATATACGTTGGAAATGGTTTATTAATTAGTGAATTAGGTCAACTTTGAGCTCCAATTTGAGTGGGAATCGTACTTCAATTTTAACTGGACCAAACATATTCACGTTCTACTCCACGTGATGATTAACGTGATATATTTATTTATTGAAAATCATTTAGAATTGAATGACATATTTGTTATCAATATAACCCACTTGAAACTATAAATTAATGAAGAATTTGATTTATTTAAAATTGCCACACACTTATTTGGACAAATTTTTTAAAACTTGTTTGGGCCAAATTATAATTAATCAAATTCTTGGGTACTTAATGAAATTAATTTTGATTGACTTATTTTCAGGTTAATCGACGTAACAGTTACAATATTTCATACTGAACAATGTTGTTTGTTCGAATTTGGGGTTGTCGAACAGTGACAACTGTTTTCAAAAGGCTTGAAGGAAACTTTCATTGCAAACTCTCTTCTTTGAATCTCTCTCTCTTGTTCTCTCTTGTTCTGATATTGTTCTCGAAGTGAAACACTTTATTAAGTTCATTGAAATTCTTGTAGATTAATGTGCTGCTTTCGTAGGAGATAAAATTCGTTCTATCTTGAGAAACGATTGCTGAACACATTTAGTATCTTTGAAAGCAGTAAAATCATTCTAAGAAAATATCGTGAAGTCGGTAGGTTTGAATTAATTTTCTGATCCTATCGATCATATTGTTACGGTGTGCAAATTATGTTAAGATAATTCTGTCAATGTTTGTATATTTAGATTGTTTTAAGGAGGAATCTATACTCCAAAAACAACAATATAAACTTTCCTGGTTGCATATATACAACGAAAAGTGAGAAAAATAGGTTAATTCTTAATAAAGCTCTAGACAAATGTCATCTCCCAAAAAGTATACTCGAGTGTGTGTGTGTATATATATATGAGATTAATACCGAAA